CTGTGGAGCTAGATCTCCATGGTAACTGATGCTGTGAAGCTAGATCGACACGGTAACTGATGCTGTGGAGCTTCATCACCATGGTAACTGATGCTGTGGAGCTTCATCACCATGGTAACTGATGCTGTGGAGCTAGACCTCCATGGTATCTGATGCTGTGGAGCTAGATCTCCATGGTAACTGATTCTGTGGAGCTAGACCTCCACGGTAACTGATTCTGTGGAGCTAGAGCTCCATGCTAACTGATACTGTGGAGCTTGATCACCATGGTAACTGATGCTGTGGAGCTAGACCTCCATGGTATCTGATGCTGTGGAGCTAACCTGGTCGGGAGCAGGTTATGTTCAGATTCTCAAATTTAAATCAGCTGGAAGGAGCGTCTCCCTTTAACCAGACGGTTTCCTGACTGTTATTTATGGGCGATCCAGATTCTCAGCTGAGGGAAGGTGTTTATCTGCTGACATGCTGAGCTGTGCGTCACTAATGTCACTGAATGAAGCCGTGGAGTTACAGCATCACACTGTAAACATCACGTTGCCATGGGAACCAGACGTGCATTTAGTTGGCGATGCAGAAATCACATAAATATGTTTTTATGTTTGGCTCTGATCTGCTGTCAGGTCCGTTTAAAATGCAGCTGAAAGAAGACAGATTTTTTTAAAAAAAGTTACTGGTATTTATTACAGAGAATATTCAATCAATTCCCTTCTGGGATGAATAAAGTATTTATTTATTTTTTTTCATTTCATTCATCAATAACATAAATTTTGCTTTGATTGGGCCAAAAGTTAAAGTGATTTCCTGCATTGTGAGACAGTGTCAGACCTAAACACACTTCACTACAAGATCAGGTTTAAATATATGAAGCTTAAACTTTAACTTTAATGTGAGGCTGTCAGTTGGAAATAATCGACTGCATCGGTAAAATACTACCACGTCTCGTGATACCTGTGATCTCTGACTGGAGCTTGAGTTTTTGTTGAGCCGACTTACACAAAGAAAGCCTGGCTATGTCAAACTCGCTTCTTAGTACACCCCTCTGGTTTTAGCCCTGTTCAAAACAAGCTGCTTCAGTGTCTGTACCTTTAAATTAAACAGGGCTGCTGTTGGCCACGCCCCTTTCAGGAAGAGGGCTGCAGGTACACCTGTGTGTTGGGCGGGGCTTATCCTGTTGTGACATCACAACAGGCTGCAAACCTGAATGGCTCGTTCAGATATTCACCTTCTGATCTACAAGGAACTTTTGTCCTATTTTGTGGGTCTCTGGACACATTGAAGTAATTTAATTATGTTTTTTAAAAGCGAAAACCAAATATGGCTGCTGTAATCTGTGGCTGTGTTCTGGAGAAAAGGGTTCAAGAGACGGCTAGCATGTGTCCCCTAACAGGCCAATGGAGCCCCACAGAGCCTCGCTGAAGCTTGATCTGAGCCTAGTAGCTTCATTCATGTCAAGAAAATTAAAGCGACTGTACAAACTGTTGGTGTGTTGTTTAGTTACGCAGGAGTTCAGAAGAGACCGCAGAGCCTGAGGCCTGGGTCAACGCTTTCCTGGGAAGGATGTTCTGGGACTTCCTGGGAGAGAAGTACTGGGCCAATGTGGTCTCCAAAAAGATCCAAATGAAGCTCAGTAAGATCAGGGTGAGCAGTGGCAAAAACAACAAGCTAACAAAAGAGACAATTTGTTGGCTGCGTTCGTGTCTTTTATGAACATCTTGTGTTTCAGCTGCCGTACGTGATGAATGAGCTGACTCTGACGGAGCTCGACATGGGCTTTTCCATCCCTAAGATCCTCCATGCCTCCAAACCCTCTGTGGACCACCAAGGTAGGAAGAGAAACTGCTCTAGGTATGTCATGCTCTTCACTGCATTCTGGGTGGTGTGCTGCAGTTTAACATTTTCAGCCATCAGTCTTGTTCGCGCTCCTCCGCTCTCATCTGTCTTTCATTACAACGGAGGCTGTTTATCAGTTGCCTTTCTGACAGAAGAGCAAAACAAGCTTTTCTTTGCCACTCCATCTTCTTCTTCTGTTTTCCTGCCATCTCTCTGTCCTCCTCTTGCTCTGCTTCTCCTCTCGCTGGATTAAGTCCTCGCCCCAACCCCGTCTCCTCTGGAGCCTAGCCCGTCTGCATGCCTTGCACTATTAAGCCACAGTAATTAAACTTCACGTCTTGGTTCCTCTCATCCATTACTGGAACACTGACTCACCCCGCCCGCCTTGAGCCCCAGCAAAGGGACTAGTTCGACACACAGAGACAATACAGAGATGTGAGGCATATTAGTTCCTACCGAGGAGGCTGGCTGGGGGAGAAAATGAGAGAAGCTTGAGCAGGGAAAAGGAAGAAATAGGTTGTCAGATGCATGTTGCTTCGCTAATTATATATACATAGCGAGTAGATGAGTCCATATTTGTATTGTTGGGTCCTAATTTAGGAAAAAGTCACATTTTGTTTATCATTAAGGAGGAACATAAATGCTGATGCCTGTTGCTGTTCAGCTGTTGGAACTAGTCATGAGTCATTTCTCTGTCAGCCACATTTCTACATTGTCTGCATTGCTGATGAATGTGCTTTGTCTGATTACACCCACAGATATACACTCACAAAGCATCATCGGTTGATCTCAGCACATCATTAGTCCTGTGGAACGGCATCTCAAGAAGTGCAGTGATGCCGCATACATGTGCTTCAATAGTGACACACTTACTTTGGTATATTTTGTGAATTCATTTGATCTCGTGATGATGTTGAGAGTGAGAGCGCCTCCTGACTCCTTAATGATGTGAAGGTGTGGTTTGACTTACAGTGTTTATCCTGTGCTCCAACAACACACAAGACTGTGCAGAGTCGAGCTTTATGTCACTGATATGCACATTTAAACCGTTTGCTTGGATATTTGAGGATGTGGTGTCTGTAACCTCAGAGGATCCTTTTAGTCCTGTGGGCTCAGGATGTAGGGAGTGTGGAGGCCGGTTCAACACCTCGGGCTCTTTGGACTGTTCCTCGAGTCATTCCTGAGATGTTTTTGTCACGCTCGGGGAGGCTGTAGCCGTCTCGCAGTGCTGCTGCCGTGGGAAGATGTGCTCATGTCAGGGTTACATCCAGATGATTGCCAGGAGCCAAGGTTTCCAAGCAGAACATTGCATTTTAATGAGTTTTGATGCAGTCATAATGATAATGTGTTGGAAGAACGAGGCAGTGGGATATAATAAATAGTGTTTTTTTAGACGCAAAATTCTTAATAGAATTCATAATTTATGTACAGTTCAAACACCATCAATGTTTTTGTCATTGTTTACTGCTGTTACCATCGTTGTTCAGCTGAGGTTTAGTTATTTTGTGTTAGAAATACTGGACCGATCAGCTCGGGCCTGATCAGGATGCCACACGTGGCTAAAAGTCGTCCATGTGAATATGACTGCCAGGCAGACTGAGACATTGAACTAAAGACAACCAGACAGATTCACTTCATTAAGCAGTCTGGAAAAGACAACATGCTAGTTACCCACTGATCAGCCACACCAGTGAAACCACAGCGTTTCTGCAGAACCAGGCACTCCCTCCCATGGTAACGACTGACAGGAAGCCCCGCCACGCCACACAAACTGCTCAGGAACAGCTTGAGAACCAAGAGCCGGAGGTACTGACTGGGCTTCCGTAAACAGCACATCTCAATCCGATAGCACATCCACGGGATGCAGCGGAACCAATCTGCAGAAACCCCAACCTGCGACCCACAGGACCCGATGGATCTGCTGCCAACGTCCTGGCGCCAGATATACCAGGACATCCACAGAGGTCCGGTGTCTATGCCCAGACGGGTCTGAGCTGTTCTGGCAGCACAAGATGGCACAACGTTACGCCGGTGGTGGTGGCGGCACAGTGACAAATAATCAAGGCGATGTCTTGTCTTGTATAATGTTGCTGTGGTGTATTTCCAGGTTACTGCAGAAATGCTCACTCCAGTACGTCAGTGTGCAGATCATATCGACGCCTTCAGATTTAAACAGACACTCCAGGCTGCTCCTCCCTGTGTGTCTTACAGACGACATGATGAGACTTAATGCTGCCATTTAGCTCCTCTTTGACTCTCCTGTCACATACGTACAAATCAGTAAACATTTATGGAGAGTGGAAAATGAGGGCTGAAGCTTAACAACAGTTATCAGCTGGGGAAGTTCGGCTTCATTGAGCAAACAGCAGGGGGATTGAAATCTCAATAACTCTCCTGCCGCCGCCTGAAAAGTGTAATGTGTAAACAGGAAGTTCCCTGATTAAGTCAGCCAATCGGGAGGCACCGTTGCCTCAGCGCTGACCTTTTCAGTGTGTGCTAGAGGATAGGTCTTCCTTCTGGTGGCTCTGCAGGTGGACCTCACACCAATTAAACACCAAGCAGGGGATTCTTGTTTATCTACAGGATTTGCATTCAGAATGAGCTGGTCTTGGTGCTACTGGGGATGTAAACAAGCACGATTCCACTCTGAAATATAACCAGTCTTCCTGCTTTTCTCTGACCATGTGTCCAGGTCTGTGGTTTGATCTGGAGGTCTCCTACACGGGCTCCTTCCTCATGACACTAGAGACCAAGATGAACCTGGCCCGTCTGGGGAAGGAGGGCGAGGGCCTCGGGGAGCACGGGAAGGAATGGTGAGGCTCTCACCCACATGTGTCTGCTTTCACAGCTGATGCTTGATATTTGAGAGTGATCATCTGCAGTCTGTCCTAGTTTGTTTTTCTTCCTGGGATTAGCTTTTGAACGGCTCTGAGTTGGATGTTAATTGGGTTGATTTGCATTTAGATCCATGTTAGCTGTCATGTGCATTTTTCACAGTTTCCACTCTTTTCCTCTCTTTATATTCTGATCCTCCCGCTGGACGCTGACTGGATTTGTCCAATGACGGGTGAGTTTGAGACTGACTGTCACCGAAACAATACGTTTTCTTTCACATGTGGAATATTGGATCTTTTCTTGACTTAATCAGTGGAGATTAAGTTCCTGTGATTCATTTCAGTGGGGATGCATTTAATGGGAATGACTATTGATTGTTAAGAGTTCTGTGCAAAGCCGCCGGGGCCTGAGTTTGTGTGTGTGTGTGTGTGTGTGTG